TTGGTCTTTTCCATTCAACACTGTTGTTTTTGTGCGATTCATGAATTATTTCCAAACACGGGTTTGCTTTTCCCGAACAGACTGAAGGTTCCTTAAGGCCAACACAAAATCTAATACTCTCTATTCCTTATAAGAATATAGTGACTGTAAATAAGCACACTAGACGCTGAACAAGTATTTCTAGAGTAATTGAAATCAAGTGTAATAAACAGAAGTTTGCTATCTATGATTTCTCAGCTCTAAAAGTAACATGAGTAAAAAATGTTATTTCTTGTGGGAATATAAACTGAGTTCCTCATATTTACTATTAATGTGTTTAGAAAACCAAATTTGTTTAAGGACTAATGTCTTATTCAGTTAATGAGATGTCTGTTATAAAAAGTAATGGTTTAAAAATCATTTTCCAATTACTAATCAAGTCAGAAATGCTTAGAAAATTTAAGATGGTTCCTCTGGAATGCTCCTTTTGGTATTCCTAAGTGTTTATAGAGAATACCTACAAAATGTATAAATCTTTTGTTTCAGTCCTTTATTTCTTGACAGAATTTGAGATAAAAATGGTACTCAACATGGCCAGTTAAATCTATCACAAGTATTTGAGGGGAATACTGGCAAGAAAGGTTTGTTTTTTTTTTTCTCTTATTCCCTCTTATTTTAAAAGTATTTTATAAGTGAAAAGGGCAACATCGTTTTTAGAGTTTGTTGAGAATTTCAAGTATCTAGTCCCCAGAAGTAAGATTCATCATCAGGAATATCTAAGGCCTAACCGGTTTTCAAAATAGTGCCCACATATACCGTACTTGTTGAACAAATTCAGATTTATTGAAAGTAAACATTTACATTGGCTACAATGTTAGAACTATTACAAAGCTGGATAAAAGAGGCTTAAGTAGCAATAGAAAGCAAGTGCAATAAAAAGTGAATAGAGAAAATATTTGGCCTTAGTGATCTCTTGGCAGTATTTACATTATGTACATATTGTTAAATATTTATAATAACTCTAAGGCACCAAAGGCTAGATAGCAGGTTGCAATACTATTTTGTGCACAAAAGTCAAGAAATTTATTGTAAAGAAGGCTGGATAGTTAAAGAAACATAGGCATCTTTTAATGTTTACATAAAGGAGTGGCTGCATTTTTTTTAAATCTCAAATGATATATTAAATATTGGGCAGATTGAAGAAAATATTTTTAGGACATTAAATTATGTTGACTATGTAAATAAGCACTATTTTTTTTACTGACTTGCTGGTAAATGTGTAATGTAATCTATTCTTCAACACAGCTTTTTCACACTCATGGATATGTTTTGTCTAAAAACTACTTGAAATTCTTTTAACCTACAAAAACTTATCCTAATATAGTATAGTGTATACAAAATCTCCATGAAAAACTGACTGGACAATAATATACATCAAATTTATACATAATCTGACAAAAATTTAGCAGGCATTCAATGCCAAAAGAATTGAATATTCAGTCTGCCATTCTGGCAAAGCAGTTGAGTATTTTAATCCTTTAACTGTAAGTGGGCGATTGTTTGTGGCTTAGGTGAATGGATGTAAAACTGGCCCATGGAGAAAACCAATCTTAAAGGGAACTAACTATATTCAAACTTTGCCTTGAAACCCCTTCACATCACTCACTGGGTCTTAGCTATGTCACTCAGCACCAGTGACTGAAATATCCATATTTCTGCATGTCAGGAGGTAACTGACAATATCTATGTCCAGCAACATGGTCTTGACTGAATTATCTGATAATTTCCATTTGCAAAATTTTATTGTTCCTTCGACTGGAAACCAAGTTACCTTAACAAACAGTGTATCATTTGTCTTGAGGTAGCGTTATAATGAAGAATTCAGCAGAACAATCGAATAACATCCTAATATTTTTACAATGTGCTTCAAGTGCTACTATGAAATCCACATACTTCAGTGGTAGACAGTCCAAGGTTGAGTGGCCCTTTGTGACATATTAAATTACTATCTCATGAAGGCATCTAGACATTAACAAGGAGGATGAGTTTTTCCTTAAAATTTTCTCAAACACCATGGCCTCTGGCAAGTTATGGTATTATGATGGTATGAAGTACTGCTAAAATTCTTTCAATGACATTAAAAATTCATAGACTTGCATATTAAAAGTTTCCTTTCTTTTATCAAAGCGGAGAATAACTGAGAGATGTCTTTTCTAAACTCTTAAATTTTTCAATGAGAGATATTCAGAACATTAACAACAGTTTTGGGGTTGGTTTCTCACATCACATATTTGGTATTAAGTTTAAGGATGTGGCACTCATTTAAATTTTAAATTGAAAACCACCTTCACACCCAACATTTGAGATTTGTTGAGCAAAAAAAATAAAAATCATTTCAACATAATGCAATGTAAGGCACCAAAAGTGCCTTCCCATAATGTATTCTATAGCACTAGGTTATAAGTATATTGTTACTCTTTTCTCTTCTTGAATGTTCAATCATTTTCTTCTATTTTTTAATCCAGTGGACAGTGAAAGAGGACAAATTACTCATTGTGAAATGTTTACAAAATCAGTAATGCAGGAAAGAGTAGAAATAAGTTAAGGTTCTTCTTCCCCTACTTCAAGAATGAAAATAAATGATTACCTTTGCTCAGCGGGTTAACTATGTAGTAATGGCTACACAATTAATATAACTATAACAAAGCATCAGTGAACAGACTTCAAATATTATATAAATACAATACAATATCCATGTTTGGAATCATCAAATATGTCAATAGGTAATCTTAATGGGGTGACTGAATCAAGGCATGATAATGTTCAAACTTCTACATTTTAAAGACCTGCTTGGATCTCGGAAGCATGATGTTCATTTACTAATGATAGATACTGAAATTAGATTCTTTAAAAATAAAGATAAGTATCAGTATGCTATAGTTATATCACAATATCAAAAGTTCAATTAAAGGACTGGCTCTAATACTTAGAATATTTGCTTACAAAGGTTCTGAACTTAATTTTTCAAAACAAATTTACAATCTGTCATTCTACATTCCAATAACAGTCAATGAATTACCATTAGGAGACATCTGATTTTATTATCATAAAAGATGTCTATTGTCTGTAATATTTAGTAGGCATTAAAACTATCAACCACTTCCCTTGCTCTAAGAGGTTAATCTACTTTTATTCTTGAACTGGCAGTAGAAGTTTGCATTATGTCAGTTTTTCCTCCCTGAAATACTCTCCCCTGAGTCCTCCAAGTTACCCTTCCAGTTCAGATTCTCTTACTACACTCCTTACAGATCACTCAACTGTGAAGTCAAACCTTAATGGATTAGGTCCGCGGTCGTAAAACTATGCTTGGAGGGACTAGATGCTACACAGGTCGGGCTCCAAGACCTCAATTTCTAAATCCTGCTAGTACATCTTCACAATGATGCTATATATCGAGCGAGCCACAAAATTAATCTGAAATATAATTTTGTTGCTTAAAACTGTTTTTTAAAAAAAAACCCAGTCAAAGGTTTTTTGGAAGACTTGGGGAATCTTGACAGAAAAAAAGCAAGTCGTCCTCTTGTACCATGTAAAGTCTTCAAGTATCTGGTCACAGAACACTAAGTAAGATACTATAGCTCGGCCCTACCATGCAATAGGATCCCTCAGTCTGGCTTTTGAGTTCAGAGGCACAAATCAGAACAGATCAATGTTTTAAGTGGATTCTATCACAATGATTAATATCCCATCCACTTCAAGACTATTTTTGCAGAGATAAGTGGCATATCAATTATTTACAATACAAGAAAACAAACAATTAGCAAATACTTCTTAGATAGCAACCCTTAACAATGAATATGACTTTTGTGCTCCCCTTTTATGCCAAAGGAAATAAACACAGAAGTTATAACATTATATTTGCAAATGACTGAACATTTTTTATTTATTTTTTCTTTCTAAATAAATTAGAATCAGATAAGAGCCTTGATTCAGGGTTTGAATAAAGTGGTAGACTTGCTAATTAAACTGCTCTCATGAATGGCCTTATTCCAAAGACATCGTGTAGGAAAATAAACACTGTCTAAAACGTACAATGAGTAAGAATAACTTTAGGACCCAAAGAAACAGAAATGATTTTGATGAGCACATGACTCTTGAAAGGAAAATGCTAAGAGCTGGTGTTATTATTCTCTATAAACTTATTTGTGTTCTTTTAATATAAAAGAAAACTTCAACATTTGTCTTCTTTCTCAATACGAAAAAAAATAAGCAGAGGTATTAGATGAAAAAATATAAAAAAATGCTGGTGTGGTATAAATAAATTTTAAAAATGTCCCATTGTAGGAAATAAAAAATATATACCGTTTGTTTAAATTCTGAGGCCCTTCTTTTAAACATAGAATCATTTGAATATAGAATTAGTCCACCTGGGGCATCTGTGTTCCCCAAATTATAACTGTTAGATAACATTATAAAAGAGTTGAATTTTAACTGAAGGGGAAATTAAACAAATAGAAAAATTGTTTCTAAATATCTTCAGTGAATGAATGGTGGTAAATTTGACTCATATCTTGGTTTATGTCCAGATTTACTGCTTACTGAATATTATTTTCTTTTCATTAAATGAGCATAGAATCGTGGAGCCGTGCCATCTCTGTTGTCAAAGCACATATATGTGCATATATACACACATACATGCACGATCACACATTTTGATGCATCAATCTGCAGATATATACATTACATACTCTTGGGCAAAGCACTGCATCTAAGACCTAATTGTTTTTGTATAAGAAAAAAATAACAGGAGAATAGGAAATATCCCTCCCCAAAACATTTGAATGTTCATACCACTAATTAAGTAGCACATCAGAATGTGCAAACATACTTATTGCAAAGTACTGTATAGATTTAGACGTCATTATAAAATGTTCTCACTTCTATTCTGGTAACCTAAAATGTCGGTATATAATACCAAATTTCCAATTAAAGAGTTTAATATAAAAATATCAGCACAAAACTGTTTTTTCAATCTGTTTATTGTGTGAGCAACCCAAACTTCAGTTTAAGTGCTGTTGTAATTTTATTACTAGATTCCATAACCCTACAATTGATAAATTTTATACCATTTTAGGTATTTAATAAGATACTTAGAAATACTAAGAAAAAAATCAGTATTCAAAGGGTTACTTTTGTTTATAATAACAATAAATTATTTTATCATCTTCTTCAGTTCAAAATCCAGCTTTGAACCCGAGGAAGGCTTTCAAATCATGTTAATTAAATGATGGTCCTTTAACCAGTAGCAGTTTGATTACCAATTACTCGAAGGATCTCTTTGTGAATGCCTCCTTCTTGTGTGTTAATATTCGCATCTCCAACCTGACCATCTTCATAGCTAAAACACAAAAAAGAAACGTAAGACATTTTTAAAAAGACGAAACACTCAAAAAAAAGCACTTAAACCCCCTCAGAAACGCCACTTGATACCTAAAATATAGCCAAAGGGATTCAGTAGTGAAGACGTTATTTCTCAATTGTATTTAATAATGTGTTTGCAAATGCAGAAAAGCCTGCATGACTAAACACATTGATTATCCTACATCATGCCCTGATTTGCCCCTTCCTCCCCTCCCTCCCTCCCTCTTTCTTCCCTCCTTCCTTCCCTTTTAATCTTTTTTTTTTTTTTTAAAGATTTTATTCATTTATTTGACAGAGAGAGACACAGCAAGAGAGGGAACACAAGCAGGGGGAGTGGGAGAGGGAGAAGCAGGCCTCCCGCGGAGCAGGGAGCCCGATGCGGGGCTCGATCCCATGTCCCTGGGATCATGACCTGAGCTGAAGGCAGACGCCCAACGACTGAGCCACCCAGGCGCCCCCTTCCCTTTTAATCTTAACTTTTTCATCCCCACATAAAGCATTGTCCGTGTCTTTGCCTAGTGGGCATTTCCCACAGCAGCTGTTCTACGAAGCCCACCATGAAAGAACATACCAGCTTCAGCTTTCGGTTCCTTAGGTTCGAATCTTGTGAGCCCCACTCCCACTTCACTCATTTGTTTATTTTCTGATCTGTGACACCCTGAGAGATGACTTCACTTTCTGCCACTGCTCCTTCACCGCGCCTGCCTTCTCATTATTATTCCGTTGTGATCAGTGCTGCCTTTTTTTCCTCATCACTGGTGGCTCTGTGTAGTCTGACTCTAGAAGATTTTCTTATTTGTGCTGGTACTTCACACAAGAATGCAAGTGTGCTAAGTTTCGCTAAGCTATAGAAGTGGAAATATAACATTAAAGGACAGCAACTACTAAGTCCTTTAGAAAGAAAGAATTGCGTTTTAGATGATTATTCATTTCCTCAAATAAACTTACTTGGGCAAAAAGAATTTTCCAAGAATGAATTTTTAAACTTCCGTGATAAGATTCAGAAGTAGAATAGGTGATGAATTAATTCGACTTTGTAAAAATGACTTCAAGACAGAAGCTTTTGAGAAGTGGTAATTACTTCAAAACAGATAACCATGGGTGTAAGCAGTCTCAAAGATTTATAAGCACCACTGCCTTTTCCTCACCACATTAAAATTCTCCTGAAATAGCACAATACAGGAAAATGGAATAGATGACATACAGCGAACTCAGGTCCTTACATAATCCAGTGCTCAAACACCTAGTGATAACTCCATTTGTATCAAGTTTAAACTCTTTAGGAACTGACCCACGGTTGCCAATCAACCTGGTTAATTCTATCCATGTAAGTACATACACACGCACACATGCGCATGTTTATATATGACACTCAATGGTGAAGCATTACTGCGAAGAAAAGAAAGGGATATGTGGTACACGGCCTACTTATAATGATTTTCCCAGGAGACCAAACTCTAAGTGCTCTGTTAATTAAATGGGAGAATGTTAAAGTGAAATGCTTTAAGCAATGTCCAAAGCTAGTTTGGAGTTTGTGGCAAACTGTATAAAAGATACATTTTATGGGGCAAGTAAAATATGTTATATGGTTTTTGTGTACATCCTGGCTAGCCCCAGGGCCAAAGGGTAAACTAAGGAATTCCTAACGCTGAGCCAAGGCTGGGGAGGCAACCTGGCTTGCAGGCTCATCCCGAGGGAGATAATGGTATTTACCAAGCCAATCCAGCTAGTTCCTCAAGGATCTGGATTTCGGAAAGCAAAAAGACACTGCCAAAAAAAAGGATGGAGACACAAAGAAAACCAGAGTGCCAGTTACGCATACCAGTCCACACGGATCTCTCCGCATTCTCCTAATATGCATTTATGTTTGCTCTATCTCTATGGCATCTGTGTCCTCTGCACACTGGACACAAAGCTGAGTAAGATATTCTTGGCTTAACTGATACCCAGCCTACATACTACCAGCTCTATTCCTTTCAATTTAAAGCTGACCTTTCAGATTTGTCTACAATACATTCTAACTGCTCGTGTTGTCCTCAACCCACTGCCATCATTCTTCTGACCCTACCACTCTACCGAAAGTCTGGACAGTGGTTACCCATGGCCTCTTACATGAGGAATTCAGATTCTACCTGCTACGTCTGCAGTATGTAATACAGCTGACTGCTCTTTTCCCTGAAGCTATATTATCTCTTCACTCCCTAGTTGGTCCTTTGATTATTAATTCTGTTTCCTTCATTGAGTCCTCTTCCCTGGCCTCGCATTTCAGTGCTGGCTTTATCCACAATTCACTCTCAGTGTTTTCTCTTTTCATGCTATGCAAACTCTCAATTATTTCAGTCTCTCCTGCTGCTTTAATTATCACCCACATGCTGATTCCTAAACTATATCTCTAATCCTTACATCTTTCCCTAACTATAATTTCCCCACAGAAATCACAAATCTAGTGTATTCAAAATTGCTTAATTTTTTAACCCCAAGTCTGCCTTTTTAACTCTATCAGAATCTCAGTTTGGAGTACCATCATCTACCCAGTCTCTCCACAAGAGAACTTCGGTCATTCTTGGCTCTTCCATGTGCCTAAATCCAATAAATCACCAAGTTATCTTGCTTCTGTTTTCCTAATCATTGCCAGGTGCATGTTCTCTCCATTTGATGCCATTACCTCCGTTTATGGCTCCATTATCATTCGTCTAAATAAGTGATTTTCAAGTTGCAGGTTATGTACAATTAGCGGGTTCTGAAATTAACTTAGATTGTCTGGGCTAGCATTTTTCAGTGAAATTGGAATAGAATAGGACACGGAATAATGAATGCACCACACAAAGTAAGCATTGTTTTTTCCCAAATCACAATATCAAACACGTTTTCTTTGGGAGTGAGAAACACTGACCCAGACGATTGTAAGAACATTGTAACTGATCTCTCGGTCTCCCTACTTAGCCCCACCGTCCCTCCTAGAGGGTATTTTCTGCTCTCGCTAGAGTGATACAAATGCCCTGCACTTCACTTGCAGGACAAAAATCCAATGGCACTGGCATAGCGCACCAGGGTCCTTCATAACCCAAACCTAAACTTCCCCTCCAGCATGTCCCACTACCCCAACACTCTATTTCCATCAAATGGAAGGGTTTGCTATCCCCAAATACTACATGCTCATTGACACCTGAAAAGCATCAGTAATTAATGGAGAGAAGATGAGACTCACATTCTTTAAACAAACAATAATAATTTAGGACAGGAAGAGCCCAGGGCAAAAGCAAACAGTAGAGAGCAAGAGCGAGAGATTGAGATGGAGATTGAAAGTATTGGGGCGCCTGGGTGGCTCAGTCGTTAAGCGTCTGCCTTCCGCTCAGGTCATGATCCCAGGGTCCTGGGATCGAGCCCCACGTCGGGCTCCCTGCTTGGCAGGGAGTCTGTTTCTCCCTCTCCCTCTGCCTGCTGCTCTGCCTACTTGTGCTCTCTCTCTCTCTGTCAAATAAATAAATAAATAAATAAATAAATAAATAAAATCAATATGTATTAAGAAAAATGCATATTCTTCCATTGTCTATGAAGCCCACAAGGAAGCATGACAGTTGTGCGTTGGAAGGATAAAACTGGCCACAGGCATTCAGATGTCTTAAACTATGAAGCATATATAATAATAAAGGAAAGACAAGCTACCATTTACCTGGGTCAACTGGCAGCGTTTAGATATATGCATTACTAGTGACACAGGGCATTTACTACAATATGGCATACAGAATACTTTGCAGCTATTTATTAGTATTACAGACAAACACTCAATTGCTAATTTAACAGTGAAGTTCATTTATGTCCAGAAAGCAACAAGATTAAAAAAAAGAAATGGAGTGGGGCGCCTGGGTGGCTCGGATGGTTAGGCGTCTGCCTTCGGCTCAGGTCATGATATCAGGGTCCTGGGATCGAGCCCCACATCGGGCTCCTTGCTTAGCAAGGAGCCTGCTTCTCCCTCTGCCTGCCACTCCCCCTGCTTGTACTCTCTCTCTCTCTCTGGCAAATAAATAAATAAAATCTTTTAAAAATTAAAAAAAAAAAAAGAAATGGAGCAAGAATGGTATCACTAGGGAAAATGATACACTTGACTGGGGTTTTTTGAAGAAGGAAAAATGAAACCATCTAAAAGGAGACAAAAATTACTTAAGTTCCCAGGAGCATTAAAAAATTACTAAAATTTTAATTAAAAAATAAGCCAATTTGCTTAAAAAGCTATGAGAAGGAAAGAAAACAACAGAGGGAATTTAGCTGTCTGGAACTCTCTGGATATGTTAGGAAATTTCCTGGATAAAAACTTTTGAATGTATTGACAAGTTCTATTTCCAAATTGATGTAGCAGCTTAAAGAATGGCGCACGTCAATTTGTTTTCTGACTCCCTGAATCTGGAACCCAGAAATGATAGCATTGTTTTTCATTAGCAATAGAGAGGAGAAATTCACTGTGAACTGAATGATATCCAGCACTTCTCCAAAGTTCCTTCCTTACTATAAGAGCATTGTCTACATCATCGCCCATGTACAATTTCTTCATCACATTGGAACGTTTGGCCTTTGTCACTCTTCTCATGCACTATGTGTTAAGCGTTTCTGCGAAGAGAATTTGCATTTTACTAGGGAAGATAACAGAGTTATGCAAATAACTGTAAGACGGGCAGCAAGGAAAAGCAATTTTAGTACGAGCAAGGACGAGTAAAATTTAGAGTAAAGACAGACATCATGTCTGACTGGGATGTCAGGAAAGACCCCACGGAAAAGACTATGTAGTTGAGCCTTCGGAGATCAGCTAAGGCTGAGCGGTCAGGAAGGCCCATCATTTGGAATGACTGAGCAAAGGCACAGTAGTGGGAAAAATAATTCCAAGTCGTGTTCAAGAAACACCTAGGATAATAATTTTATTCAATCAATGGTCTGTATGGGTCATTGAAGGAAGGTAAAATGGGCTCTATGTTGCGGAATGTC